ATCGTAGCAGGTACTGCGAGCTCGACTCTGAGGTAGGTGCCTCAATCATCAGCCATGCAGGCATAACATCGGGTTTCGAACTGCCGTGCACTATGCCCTCGTCGACATATGCTGCCTTGAAGCGTTTGACGTTAATCGTATCGACGCGACCATGTCGATCAACCTTGAAGAACTTTTCGTAACTCGACAAGAGGTCCTTCGTAAGGCTGTTGTAACGGTTTACGTACCGCATCAATTCGAATGAATACGTGCGAACAGTTTAGAAGTTCAGTGGGTATGAACATCTCCCGTTGCTGTATTCCAGTTTGTGCCGGAGACAAGAATTGCGTGAACGTAGACAAACGTTGCACGTAGTCCTGTATTCCAATGGAATCCATGTTGCGTGGCATGAAAAATTCTTTACGTTGCACGTAGTCCTGTATTCCAATGAAATCCATGTTGCGTGGCATGAAAAATTCTCCTGGCAGTCGTAATGTAGTGCCAAAAACCAGCTCAGCAGCTGTACATTGGATATTTTCTTTTACGCATGTTCTGATGCCTAACAGAACAAGAGGTAACGTCTCGTACCAATTAAGGTTCTCTTGTGCCCGAAGGGCACCCTTAAGTTGACGGTGAAAACGTTCGACTAGACCGTTAGATGCTGGATGGTAAGCAGTTGTGCGGATGCGTTCCGTACCCAGCAATCGTGTCAGCGAAGAGAATAATTCTGATTCGAATTGTGCTCCTCTGTCGGTCATGGCAGTAGAGGCACAACCGTAGAGTGCTATCCATCGTTCTACGAAATGTCGAGCCACTGCTTCGGCCGTGACAGTGGAGATGGACATAGCCTCAGGCCANGGTGCAGCTACGTGCCTGTGCACTTTGGATCGTTGACATTGTAAACACTGTTTAGCCCATATTCGAACGTCCTTATTCATGGATGGCCAGACGTATCGTGCAGCAATCAAACGAAGTGTTACTGCGATGCCTGGGTGTGATAAACCATGTAAGGTGACGAAAAATAAACAACGATCGGATGAAGGTACTACTGGTCGA